CACTTCAGACTCGAATGAATTCGCGGAATAAGGTTTCAGATATTTTCTCTTTTTGTAGTCGTTTGAAGCTGTTATTTTGAAGCGAACATCGAAGACTTCAGTAAATTGCATTTCCTTTGGCTGAAATACAAATGATGTAGTGTTCTTTTAGTAATAAATATGGCTTCTGTTAAAAGAAACAAACACAGTGCTGGGTTCAAATGCAAAGTCATTCAATTCTCGAAAGAAAATAGAAATCATATTGCAGCAAAGATGTTTGGTGTTGCTGAAAGATCCATACGTAAAGGAAGAAAAATAAAATCTCAGTAATTATTATGCCAAAAATAAATGCGCTTTGAGTAAAGGAGTAACAAAATGCCCTAAAAAAGAGTGTAATACAGACATGACATTATATTCCGTCCAGATTAACGCCATCAGTTCAGTCAGAAATTATTGAAAGAGTGTAATACAGACATGACATATCTTCCGTCCAGATTAACGTCATTAGTTCTGACTTCAGATATGTGTATCAATAAACCATTAAAAGACAATTTAAAACCAACAGTGAAATACGTGGATGTTAGAAGGTGAAAAACATTTACAAAAAGAGGCCAAATGCGTCACGCCAGTCCAGGAATAGTGTGTGAGTGGATAATAAAAGAATGGAATGAAATTAAATCCAACTTAATTCAAAACTCATTTAAAAATGTAGTATATTTAACAATTTAGATGGAACAGAATATAATTATTTATTTATGGATCAGAGTATCATTTTTGTACCAGGTGTATAATGCGCATCTGTAAATTTCGATCTTATTTTTTTTGTATTAAAAATGCGCGTTATACGCCGGAATATACGGTAAGTATTTTTATATTTTTAATATTAAATTATATTCATTTATACAAAAAATATATGTACTTTTTTAAAATTTGGTATAAAATGAAAGAAATTTTTCAAAATAATTTGCTAATCTTTTTTCATATCAACCCTGTTGTTTGGCCACTAGGCCATTTGAGAACGGGTTGTCCAATATCTTGCCTAACCACAAGAAAAAGCAGATAGTGGAAGGCACTTGTCCAAATGTAAAGCAGTCATATGTAAAGCAGTCATGCAAAGAGAACACCTAGGAGAGTTCAAATTGTTAAAATGAAGAAGATGAACACGGAGGCAATCGTGCCCGGTTAACATTCTAAAAGTTAAACTGCAGCCGCACGAGTGAGTCAAGGACAAGTTGTGGTCTAGAAAAGAATACATTCCAAGGTCTGACATTCGAAAGATGCTGACATTTGAAAGATGCAAAGGTGCATAATGAAAAAAGCACCTGGAAAACCTAGCTAATTCCAATTTAGCTGAATGGAATAGCACTTTCACAAGAGGTTTCTGAAAAACAGAAGATCTTTTCTTGGCAAGATAATAAGCCCTCTTATTTCCCTCAGTGCCACAGTGGGAAGGGATTCACTGGAAGACACCCAACTAGGAAAATTCTCAAGTAAAGTCTTGCATCTTAGGACGCCGAGGTATTTGCTATACTCAATTGTTGCTTCTGAAAATATCAGTTGCCAATAGAAAACAAATCCTTTAAAAGAATGCGGCTGAATGATACAGAACATGAGTAAACCTTTCAAACTTGGGTATCTAGCTAGGACGTAAAGGAAAGAAACACATCATCCACGTTTCAGCTGAATATAGATTAGCCGCATGGATGTTTCGGTAAGTTTCCTTTCGAATGCTTTCTTGAACTTATAGAACAAAAAGAAGTCGGCCGGACTAAAGGTCGAGACTGTAGGGTTGCTGCGGGAGCGTTGCCACATTTTGCTTAGCTAGGAACTCATGGAAACGCAGAGAAGTGTGTCTGGGCCCATTGTTTTGATGCAGCATCCAGGTAGCGATGATTTCTTTCAAAACACCCACGTCTTAACAGCCGAACACTCACTCGACGATCATGAGCATTCAAAAACTCAAGCACACGAATTATATTTTCATCAGTTTGGCTTTTTGATGGCAGTCCAGTGCGGGAGTCATCTTTTATCTCTTCCTTGCCCTCTTAAACCTTTTCATTAGTCTCGTAACTTAACATACGAAATAGTATACTCCCTGTATGCTTGCTTAAACAATCAGTTTTTGAAGCTTTATTTTGCCGAGCTTTGTGCAGAATTTGATGGCCCAATGTTGTTCAAAAGTATACGCCATGACGTAGTCTCAAAACAGGGGTGTACTACATTAGCAATCCTGACGCCACCAGTGCTCGGAGCAAAGGGACTTACGGTTCTGTGCAAAGGTGTGGGTCTCGCTCACTTGACTCATACGTCCGAACGTGCTGAAATCTGTCGGGGCACGTCAAAAATTGCATTTCATGATTTTTAAGACATACCTGGTTTGAGAATATAACAATTAAGCTAATATTAAAGCATAAATTACTTTTAACAAGTTTGAGTTTACTTAATACACGGCTCTCAGTTGTAGTGTTAATAAATATCTGTATGCTTCAGCTATTACTCTTTTTGATAGCTTAATAACTTATATGAAATCTCAAATCATTAGACCAGATTAGTAATGCAATTAAGAATTATATCTAGAATTATCATTAAAGGATTAAATTAACTGCACTCATAACTTATTAAACATTAAAGTCTTTGGTTTTTCCTTCGGAAGTGATTTTGTATTTTGCTCTAAAATTATTTAACTAAGGAGCATATTGATACAGTGCAGTATATTATGTCTTTTACAATAAATGGTTTTTGTAATGGTGATTAATTTTATTTGAATGTCGTTAGCATGTATGTTTAAGAATTTTAAACGTCTACCATGCAGTATTCGTTTTTTACATACGAAATACAAAATCTCACAATAATGTATAGCCAAGTGACAGGTAAAATAGTATATTCATGCTCCAGAATTGAAAGTTGTAATTCGAACCTTCTACCTCAAGTGCAGTAAAAATGCTTTAGATCTGGAGCATATTGAGTTAAAAATACAAACATACTCTTTGTTCACTGCTAACCAGAATAAAGAAAAGCATCTATCTACAAGTAAACAACAATGCTCCTCTTTTATACAGGGCGATTCTAAACTGTTTTTACAAATTAAGAAGGGTGATAGTACTCATCCAAATGAGCAATAATTACCATAGAACATAGAGTCGCCTTCCACTCTGAGAGGCAGAAAAGAGGAATATTAGAATTTCAACCTGAACTTACAATAGTGTTGAGCGAGCGAATGAACGAGACCAAAAGTTGCACAATCAGTTTACTGAAAAACTCACAGAGCGTGCACAAGACGGATAAAACTGAAACTTGGCGTTCGAGTGTTAATTCGAGCTCAGACTTTGATGGAAAACACTCAAATGCACATCTTTGGGTCGCAAGTTCTTAAATTATTTGATCAACAGCTGAAAATTATCAACTAACTCCAACTTCCGCTGTATGCCGAGATTAGCATGAAAAGTTCAGATTGTCAGACCTTCGTATCCCATAGAAGGATGCTTCAAGTAAAATGAGCGGAGCACATTTAAGTCCAGGAGGACAGGATAGAAGATGGCGAAGGGGGGGAACTGCTATCTTGGATACTTGATATCAAATCTTCTCGAAATACGAAGTCTCATTCTTGTAACTGTATTGTCTAAGAGAGTTCTCTTGCAGAGTGACTAAATCGAAGCAAAAAGATGACAAATGTAACCAGATAACACCCTCTGTTTCTCCAGTTCTTCCTCTAAGACATTTCGATGCAGATGTGTGTACCATCCATAAACATGAATTTATATCTCATTATACCCATTTTGTTTCCAGAATTACATCGCAATAAATTTAGGGCATCACGATACCTCTTTCATACACATGAAGAAGCTCTGCAAGAACCAGTGTCAACCACCAATCCTAAACTACTACCACCATCCAAATATTGCTGTTAAAATTGCTGGAGATTCATGTGATTTCGAGATGAATACTATACTACCCTCTGTTAAATACTAGTTTAACTAGTAACGATACTATATTTCACTTTTGAAGATACTTTGCTTCAGATTAAGTATAGATCCTTTAATAAGGAAAATAAAAGATTCTTACAGGCCATCCATTAAAGTTCGAAATCAATGTGAAATAAATCGCACGTGACTTTGATAACGAGATGCATCTTTCAGGCCTGCAAAGATATGTGTTTTATTCTCACATCCGTCTTTACTGAGTATGCCTAGAGTAATAGCCTTGGTGGTACCTCAGAACTTATGGGAAATTCGCACTTTGGCGATCCTGCGCCATTTTGCAATTAATAATATAAAATGGTCTTGCTGAGGTATTGTAATAATTCTGTTTTATGTACTTAGTCGTATAAATATATTCTAAAAGCACCAGACTTTAGAAATCATGCTTCATGAGACACAAAATGCTTATGTGGCACACAATTGGTTATAAATTGAGACACCCAATGAGCTCAATGAGACACACTGAGACATACACTGAGCATGAGACACACAATTGGCTCTAAATAAGTTCTCTCATATGGAACTTGGCCAGCTTTAAGTTGTTGGCAATTCTACGCTGCACACACCATCTAGAAGCGATAGCTGATCCATACTTATTTGATATGCAGCATTATCGACTTAAATCGCAGATTAATTGCAACATGCAGCATTATCGACGAAATACGCCAAAATATGCTTCTTTTTTACTGTAGCTTTGACTTCTGAGTTTATAATCCGCAACCTGTGACCTGGCACGTCTTACTATTAGCGACGCCATCGGTTTGCTATGGTAACTGATGATCTTTGGTCATTTTAGAAGAGATGTGGTGTAATTTTTATAGCAAATCACATTGCAAAGCGCAAGATGTTTCCTCGATTTCAAATATAGTAATTACTTAAGTGAACAGCAACATATATTAATGATTTGGTTCAGGCTACCAAACCGATAACAGTCAATAATAATAATATATTAGAAAATTTTACTTAGAAAATCGTTGGAAATATGCACTCAAACTCTCAATGTCTAATGTCAAGAAAGTTAAAATTAAGGCAACAAATACTTACGAGGTGCCTGATAGATGTTGGAGCTTGGATGGAGTGGTAAGTTAGTGCTCTCCATGATGTGTGAGTATGTATCTTCATCTTCGTGCTAAAGGAGGAAAGCATAGTCAGGTCCAGGATTTTGTCTTACTTCAAGCGCATGTTTAATTCATTATAAGAGTTAATTAAATCATACTTTTACACCTTACACAAAAGAAAGGGACAGTTCTGTAGCTCTCGTTCTACTGGACCGATTGTCGAAACTTGCGTTCAACATGTCTCGAAAGTGCGACTTAGGATATATATTAGATTTATATATATCATTGTTCTAGCATAGGTATTTTGACACAAAATTGGACTTTTTCTGAAATAACATACCAGTATTTTTCCATATTTCGATTTTACAACTCAAATTATGCCAAGTTTTGTAAAAATCGTTCAAGTAGTTTTTAAAAAATTAGCTCTCATACTTTTAGCTCCTAGATGTTAATTGAATTTGTTACATATTTAAAAATTACTCTTTTTTTACTAAACTTATTTGATTCTTCACTTCCCATTTCAAAATTTAGGTTCATTCCAAATAAAATTTGACCATTTTTATGATTTATTTTTAAAATTTGTATTTTAAAGTAATTTTTACAATTCTTTCGAAAACAATTTTCAATTATAAACTATAAAAATTTTACCATCATCTAAAGTATATATATTTCTAAGCTTATCTGCCAAAAATTAGAGTTTTTTTATTCAAAATTTTCTGAGATACATGTGAATTTACACATTAGCGCATTTTGAAATTTGACATATTTTTATAAGCGATAATACGCCAAATGTGGTTTACGCACTTTTTAAAAATTCTTTAAAATTATTTGAAAGTATGAACGATGACATTTTTTTCCGCTCGTGCGCAAAGGAAAGGGAAAAAAGTTTGCTATAAATTAAAAACTTCGCCAAGTGAATTATTATTGGCGCAAACTGAAAAAATGTACACAAGATAAATTTTGAAATTTTTCCATAAATTTCTTACCAAAAATTGGCAAAATTTAATATGTAGGCATAATGTGAGTCGTAGAATCTAAATATGGAAAAAAATGGTATGTCGTTTCAGAAAATGTGCCAAATTGCCTATGATAGAACAATGCTATATATAAATCTAACATATATCATAAGTCACGCTTTCGAGACATGGAAAACGCATGTTAAATTTAGGCAATCAGTCCAGTAGAACGGGAGATACAGAATTATCCCATTTTTTTTTTGGTGCAAGGTGTGCGTCTGAATGTTATACAATAGCGATTAGTAAGGGAAACATTAATACTTTGTGGTTTATTAAGGCACACTAGTGGCTTGAATCTGTACATTTGACGTTTAAAATGAAGAGAACATACTTCAATACGATTAATTACACTCTTGAATAAAAGTATTAATTATACGTTCTTAACAACGCTACCGAGTACGCATATTTTATTTTTGTGCGTTAGAAACTGAGTGAAGCAACAAAAAGTCATTTATGTGTATATGTATGACTGTCATATTCTACATATTAAGCACTAGAAAATAATTTACAATATGCTATAAATTTAAATAATTTTATATTAAAATTGTTTATCTATTCTTGTTTTTTCTTGAGCGAAGAGATTAATGCCCTTCAAATTTCTCCTCTAACATCGCAAAATATTTATTAATTATTTATAAAATTCTTTCTGCTGTTTTTGCTCGTAATAAATCAGTTTTTATTTTGGCTGAGAATGGAATTCTAAGCTTAGCATATTTCCAATTAAACGTAAAGATAATGCTGTAACATAGAACTGAGGTTTCATGCTGTCTGTCGATTGGCTAGGTATAGGATTGCCAAAAAGTTTCGATTTATAAAACAGTGATGCAGAATATGACAAGCTACGCCTAAGCAATTTTTTTTCATTTTTAATTTTCAAATATCCTAACTAAAATAGGAAACTGTTTTAGAAAAAATTCAGCAGAGAAAAGTGTTACAATTTACATCCTATTTGAAGCTGTTTTAAAAGAGTATTTCCAAAACGATTGATTTAATAGAGATTAAACGATTTATATTTTTAATATTTAATACTAGATTTAATTTGGTGGACCCTAAACTACCAGTTTTTTCTTTTCAATATATATTCATCTTTGAGAATTAACTATAAAGTTGTAGAATCATTGGAATATTTTTTTGTAGCAGGAGACGTGAAAAATATGCAGTAACCTCGTCTGGACTCTAACCCTGGACCTCTCGAATACTCGACGAGTATGCTTCCAATTAGACCACGAATGCATGCAGAAGAGGTAGAAAATATATTAAATACTCCCCTTTTAAGGACGACTGAAATTAGGGGACTCAATTCCTGGTGGTGACGAATTATGGACCACCACCTTTTCTAGTTCGGGCGCCGCTTAGGAAGTCTTAAGTTTTTTTCTTCAAAGCTGGAGACAAGACAGATATGCAGTGCCCTTGCCGGGATTCAAAGCCTGGACCTCTCGAATACGCGTCGAATATGCTTCCAATTACACCAAGAAGGCATGCGGAAAGAAGGGAACATAAAGACAAGCCTAACTTTACTTAACTTAGACACCTGTTTAATATTCCTAGTCTGCAGACTTTCCTGTCTGGCCTTAGAATTCAAGAGCACAAATTTAATACTACAAGAATAAAAGCAACTACAGAATTTATTTGTATTTTGGATGGAATGTCAGTAGAAAAATAATAACATATGTATCAATAGAAATAAACATTCAAACAGTACGTAAAAAAATGTAAAATATCAATAGAAGTAAACGTTATTTGATTCTGTTACTAAAGTGTTATTTAGGACTATTATACCACTCCCTGCGATTTAATACTACATTAACAGCTTTGAATGTTGAGGATTACAGCAGTTGAGTTAATAATATTCTCTCTCTAAACTTACATTATAGCTCGTTATCAGTCCTTATCTAATTTATGTATCTGGCGAAACTAATGGAAAACGTAGAAGTGCAGGAAAGATTCAACATAAGATATAATGTGTTAATTAAAATATAATTTATAAATTAATCTTATGTTTTCCTTTCTATTTAGAAGCTGCCGTAATCTTTCTTACTGAACATATCCTAGCCAACGATTATCGTCAATAAGGACGCCTCCTTGTTCTTTGAAGAGGTAGTATTTTAAATGAATGTGCTTTTTTTCTTCAATATTTATGGTGTACATATACACAGGTTGTTGGACATGAAATGTCGTATTTGACCTCAAAACTTCAAACAGCAGCAACTTTGTTAAAGCAAATTTTCATTAGTCAAAATACGTAAAATATTTTGTAAAATGTAACATGAAAAGCCTGAAGAGAGCGAAACCCTGTGGGAAAATAAGATTACAGGCGCAAGTCTGTTTAACATTGGGGTAAATGGCTATCTCGCTAAATTGGCGAGATGCGGCCAAGCTGGCGGTGGTTTTGATGATTAAAATTTGTTGCTAAATTTGACGAGAACTCGCCAAAAGTCGCCAAACTAGTGACCGACCATTTAGCAACATTTTGGTTTTGTCCCTGTATAACTGTAACTGGTACTGCAATTGAACCCTATACGTTACTGTAACCTATTCGGCCTTATATGTAACATTAACTGCATATGATTTCCAGTAATTTCGAGAAATGGAAGGTACTAAAGATTTCTCGGTGGGTATGTAATCCCAGAGAAAGCATCAGTTCTCAATTGTTTAGTTCAGGGTTGACTTCGCAGTACAGAGAGATCTCCGTGAGAACTTTAGATGCGCTTTTCATTGCGTTGTGTTTAACGCTGTTAGTGGTTTGAAGAGTGACTATTGATTGTGCTTTATGATACTGAGAAGAGCTGTACGAGTATTTTTGTTGAGAGTTCTAGAACTGTAAAGTGTTTCATTTGGTAAAATAATTTTTAATCAAGCTGCCATAGATTCTGTGTGCAGTGAATCCGTTACAAACGCGAATGCATGTAACAAACAACATGCACCCTTTTCCTATAAATGCACTGATATATATATATATATATATATCAGTGCATTTATATTACTTCTATAGAAGTTCGGTATTCTAGGTTTATGGTTACTCTAAGCTACTTTTTTCTAGGTTTATGGTTATTAAGGTATTCTAGGTTTAAGAAATTCCTTAAAGGTGTTTTCGGCGACTGCCAGCGTCAATATGTAAGAATAACTGAAATTATAAGTGGCTTTTAATGCAGTGACTGTATTAAAAATTCCCATATGCGTGGAACCTAGTTCAAATCAATCTGGAAAACAAGTGAATATCTGTAGAAAATAAGATGGAACATTTCATAGAGACAATAAATTCAATTGAAAGTAATCTCTCAACTGATGTTTAGAAAGGTAATCGAAACTGGAAACCGACAAAGCATCCGGAAAATATATATTTATTGGAGAGTTAAACTTCCGTTTTCTAACGTAAAGTTTCAGGTTGTCATACAAGTTTTATATACCAAGTGACAGGTTGCAGGAGAACTGTAAATTCCTAGTCGCCAGGAGCATTTGCTGAAATTTTGGGGAAAAAGAGATAAAAGGGCGTACATTTTCTGGAAACTAAATGCTGATTTGGAAGGTAAAAACTTGGTGACAGATGAGACCACTTATAAGTCAGTTCATAGTGAAGCTCGTTATTTTTCTCATTTTCTTGATTTGGCTTGGATAATAATATAAAAATAACTTTCTCTGATTCGCCACCAGTTTCCAAAACTAATTAAAATACAAGTAACGCAATTTTACATAAGTCTTCATGTATAATCTTCATGTATTCAATGAGGGATCGATTTCAGTTTTTATATGTCTAAATTTCGGAGTAGGTATACAGCTGATAAATAAATATACGTTGAATTAAAAATTATATCTATTCCACACAAGATTTATCAAACGTATGACGTCTGAGCATTGAAACGTCTTTGCAGTTATGCTATTTCAGTAACTAAGTGAATTAATTACAGAAAGAAATGAAAGATTCCGGCAAGAATAATTTCATTTACTCAATAAAAGTGTCGTAGAAGTCCAAAATGAAATCATGTACCTTAAAAGTGCATTGTTTAAATTCTTAAAAAAATCAAAAATAGAGAAGGGAGTAAAAAAAAGAAACTCGAAAAATAACCTCTTAAGGAAAGCCTGTTTTAGGTCGATAAGGAATAAATTCTACACGGTGAATTCGACACAAAGGAAAAAAAAGAGCTTCCTGTCAAAATAAAGCGCTGTGGAGAGGGAAAAAATTCACAAGAATAGAGAAATTTAATTGGATATTGGAAGAAAGCTAATGGATAACACAAATGGCGACAGATGGACAGCAAGAAAAAGTGATTAGATTCTGGGAATTGCTGAAAAGCCGGAGGAAGTAGGATAGATGGGATCAGAAAATAAGTACAACTCAATTGCAAAACGAAAGACTTTTGAGTTTTTTCGCACCAGCAACTTAAAAATACACTATATTTCAGTTACGTAAAAGAAATTCAATACATCTGTCAAGGAAAACAGATGTTATGGATTAATCCAAAACTTGCCCATCGTTTTTATCCCTCACCGGCATGGGTTATTCTAAGAAAGAACTTTCCCAAAACTACCATCAGAATGAACTATCTTCTCGATTTTAATGTCAAAATACTCCTGATACTTATACCTGAATTTATATAATTTTAATATATTCCCTTATTTTTTAGACATATTTTAAGATACACGTATATATACGTTCTTACCGTTCTTATGTGGTGCATACAAGACCGTACATATACGGCCTTGCAGGCCCGTGGGTTACACCATAATTATTTAAAATTACGCGATTAATAAAAATACCTCATTTTCTCTTTGATATATAAATTTGAAGGCTTTCAAAATTACATTTATTTTTATACACGAGTAATAATTTAGTTCATTTCAAAGTAATGCTAATACTTATTTTCATTCAAGTTGCTCAAGAACTTTGATTCGGATGCACGCTCCGTTGTTTAAGTACTGCAGACTGCAATTCTTCGTTTGCAATAATTCCTATGCAGCCTTTACAAATATTAGCAAATTGTCTTTGGCCTCAATTACATCCAGTTCAGAACCTTTCGGGCTTTATAGAGGTCATTCCGCCTCAGTTAGGTTACAACACGTGCGAACATAACATTTCAGCATACAAATCTATTATTTTAAGCTAAGGTCAGCCTTCGTATCAGCCTGATAACAGTTCCAGTTATGTGGCGCCAAATAACACTTTTTGCCGATTTTAAAATCTCAGATCCTTTAATTTCTTCGTTAGCACTATAAAGATTACGAAATTTTATATAGTTACTTTAAAGTTTTATATAGTTACGTACTAGACTTACGTACACGTACTAGACACCGTGGTTGTATAATTTACATTGAATAACTGTTAAACAGTACTTAGCAGCATAAAAGCACCAGGTGTTAGACAGCGCGGTGATCTCTAATTTAACAACCGCCACTGTGTAGGGCAGATTTAACGAACACAATATAAATAACAACTTTTATCAAAACATCCAATAATACAGAATTTTATGTGTATAAATTTCTTATACAACCATTTATTGAAATTTAATTTCACAATGTAAATAGTTCCTGTTATATGTATTTACTGATCATCTCAAATTTTTAAAATTCGTTTACTTTCCTCATATGTTAAAATCATTTCTAAGTTAAAAGCAATTTATTAATTTTAGTCAAAAAGTAATTTTTTTTGGAGACATGTTATCTTAAATTAACCTTCCAGCACGCGCGTATGCGCAAAATTTACGACAAATTCTGTTTTTAAATGACATTTTGGCATTCGAGCTGAGACTCTGAGGTCATTTCTATTTCATCCTTCTTCTGCTCTTCCCCACATCATGGGAATGCGCCAACCAGGAAGTCATTTGACTTTTCGTTTTTTTTACTGGGCTTTTGTACTATGTGGCAGCTTTTTCGTAAAAGTTACGACACGCGCTTGGTTGTGAGTGGAGATTCGGAAAATATTTCTTTTCTCAAATATTTTGTAATTTTGTATTATTAATTGCCGTGTATTATTTTAATTTGTATACATTTGGCTCTAAATTTTATATCAGGTTTCATGGCAAAAAAACTATGGGCAACCAGCTGATTTTGCTCGCATTCTTCAAGAATTTTCTGATGAAGAAAAGAAAGACAAGGAAACCTTTGGATGGGAGAAGGATAGCAATTTCCATTCCTTATTTTCTTTTATTTCTATTTTTTAGAAATAAATGAAAATTTTAAAGTTAGTTTAAACTGCGTTTTTGTAACCAGTAAGAAGTAAATTTCCTTACAGAAGTAAGTAATGCTAAACTCACTTTTTTTCCCAGGTGAGTGTGTTTTCCTTTTTTTACTTGTCTATACTTGCCCTTTGATGAATATTAAAATTAGCTCGATTTTAAATGTAATTATTAAATATAATTTAAAATTTCTATAATGAAATACATCATTGCATTTCCATCTCACTAGCATAAGAATTAAAAAATAATTTACTTATATTTGAATGTGATATTATTTGTATTTTGCAATAATGAGGCTAATATTTTATTTCTTAACAAATTTGTTATCAATTTCTGTCGTTTTTCCTGCCCAAAACGGTAAAGTTACGGAAGTCGTAAAAAATACGACGCGCGCGGGCTCATGTGAAATTGCCAAGCGCGCGTGCTGGAAGCTTGACAATTCGTTCATACAACGAATTAATATCACGATAATTTTGGATATTTGCATTTATATATAATAAATATTTCGCTCAAAAAATTGACAGAATGTTACTGCAAAATTGGAGTGAACAAAATTAAGTATGTCACATTTCTCATGAATAATCTCAAGTTTGAAAAACGCTAATAAATTTTACAGTTCAGCTGATATAATTTATAGTCGAGCTTTACAAAAGTTTTCTAAAAATATTGCAGATTCATTAGGATTTTTTGAAGCAGGAGACAGAAAAATTGAGCAATGTCCTCGCCGGGACTCGAACCTGGACCTCTCGAATGCGCGCCGAGCGTGCTACCGTTGCACCACGAAGGCATGAAGAAAGGAGGGAGAAAATACCGAAATGAATTCATTATGGATGAAGAAACACGATTTTAATTGCACAAGTTAAAACGTCCTGAAGTGTAGATAATTCTGAGTACATCTACATTGCACACACGCAAAGAAATAGTTATACGCACAAACGCACGCCCCGACACAAATATATTAAGACGAAAATTTTTTACATAAATACAACAAAAAATTCTTTATAAGAAAACGATGTAAGTAAATTTGGACGAGGAGCATATTGAAATTTTAGTTTCATGATAGGTAGCATTTACTCTAATCATATTTTTCAACAATTCGTTTTCGAAATTTGAATATATTCAAATTACGTTAAACTGAATAAAAGTAATAATAAATAAATACCAATCTAATTTGCAGCAGTCTTGCTATAATTTCTTGCTCGCATCAAACATGTAATTTAATATCTAAGCAAAACAGAAATGAACTTTTGATCTGTTATGTTTATCGCATCAAAATTAAAAACTGGAGAAAATGCAAAAAAGTCATAAAAATGTCAATTCGAAATACGATTTAAAAATATGTAAAAACTTATGAATAATATTCTTGACTATCGATTTGAAGAAGTTAGTACTGGTATATAGCTAGACTAGCAAAATATGTTACGTAACAATTTCGGTGACGTTATGTCAATTCTTAACTCACATATTGACGTAAAGAGACACTCCAGCACAGACAAAGAAGAGACGAACACTGAGACCAAGGAATCCTTGCCACAGGTCTATTACTTTTACAGGTCACACGCCACACTTACGACTGTACTGGCTCTCCCGTAATATGATGTTTCACAAAAATGGTGCATGCCCTAGTTTGTCTTTGTATTTGTCGAGAAAATAAAGGTATTTTAAAGAATAAATTGTAGTGAGTCTTAAATCTTTATAAAAAGAGGAATTATAACCCTTTGAGAAGGCCAAAACTCACTTCAAGACCTTTCATTCAAACAATCACAACCGCCGGTACGGCTGAGATTGCGATGTTGTTTTCTTCTCTGCCCCTAAACTATGCAGCAGCAGGTGCAGTTTCTCCAAACGCATTGGATCAGTTTGTTGCAGATAGCTTGTCCTAAAAGGCTAATGGAAGCTTCTTTGCTAGGAGGTAGAAAGGATGTCATTTAAAATCTTCACACTTCTTTGAATATTTATGGACGAGGAGGGAACGAAACGGACGGAACGATCGGGGACAGGTGATTAGGTATTTAAAGCACACAGGCTAGAGAATGCTTCAGTTTTGTAGTTCTTAAAATTATGTAACCAAGTGACCAGAATTTCTGTATAAGGAATTACAGCATTCGAATATTTGCTTGATGCGTACGTGGTTGGCAGATCCAGTCAGCAGCTCGAAGACTCGTCATTTCGAATTACACTGGTGTGCAAAAATTAAGGACGAGACGGTTTTTTTCAATATAACTTTGCACAAAAGCTTTCCAAATCAACACATTTAATACCGTAAGATACCCAATAAGTAAGGACATGAGTAATGTAAGCAACACTTACTAAAAGAGAAATCAGAGGGATAAAAAGAAGCAAGTAGCATGGAGCGCAATGAGACTGAAGGCCAAAACATCCCTGTGATGGATGTCCAGCAAGAAACATCCGGTCTTTAATAGGGGATATGATCTCCTCTGACTGCTAGGCAGGTTTCACAGCATCTACCCATGCTGAGAATGAGGGTGTCAATGAGTTGTTGAGGCATTGCTGCCCATTCGTCTTGCAGCGCCAATCGAAGCTCCGGAATCATTACTGGTGGTAAGGTACGAGCTGCCAAGCATCTGCCTGGAAAATCCCATACATGCTCGATGGGATTGAGATCCGGAGATTGTGCCGGCCAATCCATACTTGAATATCCTCACTCTCTAAGAGCTGTTCGGCAGCTACTGTGCGATGACATGGTGCATTGTGTCGTCCATGAAAAGGAACTGCGGACCCATAGCGCATCTAAAAAGACGCACATATGGAACGTAATCTCGTTACAAAACGGGGTCCCGTTGACTGAACCTGCGTCGAAGATGTGAAGGTCTGTACGACTACCAAGCATGATGCCTCCCCCAAACGAGAACACTGCCACCTCCATACCTGTCCCTTTCAATGATGTTCGAGGGATGATTGCGGCTTCCCCGCTCTCTCCAGATGCATATGCGATGAGAATCGCTACTCAGACTGAATCTGCTCTCATCTGTAAAGAGTACTCGTCCCCATTCATTGTTTCTACAATTCCGGTGTTCCCGGCACCACAGAGAACGCCTTCTCCGATGGGCAGGCGTTAGAGGTACACACCGTACAGGGCGTCGTGCAAACAGACCACCACCGTGCAGGCTTCTGGGCACGGTAAAACGCGATATCGGTCGTCCAGTCGCCTGTGTCGTGTGTCTAGCGATTTCTCCCGCTGTCTGCCGCCTGTTTCTTCTGGCCTGTAAGGCAATATACCGGTCATCTGCGGGTGTGGTTCCTCGTGAACGACCACTACTAAACTCCCGGATAGCTGTTCCTGTAGTTTGAAATTGTCTCCAAAGTCGTGAAACGATGCTGTGAGCAATTCCGAACTCTGCAGCTACACTTGTCACACTACGGCCTTCCTCCAACTTCCCAATGATTCGAACTCGGGTAAAAGCATCCAGATGTCGTCTAACAGATTGATTATTCGCCATTTCTCCTGAGGCAGCAACTCGGTGTGATTTTTAACTGCTATACGGCGTGCAATCTCTTTTGCCAGAAATACTGATCTTACAACCGACAAATGCTTTATACTACTCAGACACTCCCCCATTACGTCTACCTGCATATCTGCGCATGTGCTACCGTACATCACCTTACTTAATCTCCTGATTGGTCTTTCTGTCCGCTCTGCCTCTTCGTTCAGCTGATATGCTAATTTTTCGACTTCGTCCTTAAGTTTTGCACACCAGTGTATAGCACTGATTTCTTACGTTCCTCGGCTCTGAAAAACAGAGTCTTTTCAGTGGCTACGAACTAAAATGTGATGTACGGTAATCCGTCGTTACATGGATTTGATCTATTGGGTCTTGTGGCTCTCTCCATTAGGTCTAACAATAATGGTAAAGTTAAGGAACTATTGCATCTCTAATGCATGTTTTTGCGATGTAAATGGTCAATACACGCAGATGACATTTTAAAAATTCTCAACTCGAATCCTGGTAAGATCACTGTTAGCTTCATTCGCTCATTCAAATTGTTACCACCAAATATTATCCCCCTGGATTACTTTTAAAGAAATTAAATAATGAAGAATCTGCACGAATATATGTATGTTTCTCGCAACGTGAAAATCAAAGGCATTTACGGCATCAAATTTTATATATCGCTCTCCAACAGAACCGGGAATCCCGAATTTCGAATTGATTATTTTTTATTTTGTAAAACTTTAATTAATTTTTTTTTACAAACTCAAAGATTTGAAAGCGACCAGAGGCTATGCTCTCGCTGAAATCGCAGGATTAAAACATTATTATCTTCAGTGGGAGAGACTGTATACTGGAAATTCTAAAGATATGCTATTTTAAAATATTTTGCGATTTTGCTATTTAACTGAATTTTATGTAGCAGAAATGTGAAGAAGATGGTTCTTAATTAATAAATTAAGACATAAAACATTGATAATAAAAAGACAAAAAATGTTTGGTAAAGCCATCTTATTAAGAAAATTGAACACCGATATGAGAAACTAAGAAAAGACAGATTAATATTAAGAAAAATGTATGGCAACGCATAAAGCTGCATCGGAGGAGCCTATACTATTAAAATCTATGCGTATTTTGTCTCTTTGTTTGTAACATTATCTCCTCCGGAACGGTGGGGTATTGAGTTTCGAGTACCTAGTACGATTTTAATCAGTCGAGATATTAATTGAAAACTCTGAAAACGCTAGATTGGGAACAAAAATGTACTTATAAATTGGTTGTTGCGGGTTGCGCGAGATATTAATTATTGATTGCTGGGGATTGTTGAGAGATATTAAAAACTCTGTAAATGCTAATTTGGCCCCCAAAAAGATATATTTACGAATTGGTTGTTTGCTTGAAAAGTCCACTAGTTCTATATATATGCTGTTCTCTTACTTTTAAAATTGTTCTAATTTTGTTGTTGAATTGTATATAGCCTTAAAGTGGGAAGAAAATGATGCTTACTGATAAAGCTAAAAAGAAAAAAGAATCCGGTTAGAATAGCGAATGCAGCAGCAGACTGTAGTCTGCGAGCTCAGCCAGAGCATATTAAAACCTTAGCGAACCCCCTTTTGGGAGACAGTTAAAATCTGAAACCTTTCTAATTTTATCCCTTCTCATATCTATGAAAACGTAGTACATTCCATAAGAGTGTTTTAAGAGATGAAATTTAATTAAGTAGATATTCTCATTTGAAATGTCTAGAATGAGTAATTTTTTAGTTTTTTTTCCTAAAAGGTAAACATACATACAACACTCACATTTCGGTTACATATTTTCAACACTTTATTAATATATATGATTTTTTTTAACTCCAAAGGGGAGTTAGCTCAGAAGAGCAATTAATATCGAAACTGCATTTTGTGTTGAGTCACTGTAAAAAGCTGAATCACTTTTCAAATTTTTGAAACTAAATAATATCGCCTTGTTATTGTAAAAGAAATTAAATATAGGCGAATAAGCATGAATGTATTTTGAATTTCTCGTATTTTGAAAAAAACGTAGTGTACCTATAGCCATCAAATTTTGTATAACGTAATTCTCCACCCGAACATGGGCATCTGGAAATCCGAATTTGAAATTTGTTTTATTATCTATTTCATATTTTGTTTTTAACGAATGTTTGATTAACAAAATCAGCGATTTCAAAGCGAGCAATGGCAACATTATACGGAAAGAAGCAAACATTTTTATCAGCGCACGAGACTGTCTATCGGAAATTCTAAAGATATGCTGTTTTTAAATATTTTGTGATATTACTGTTGAACTGCGTTTTATGTGCTTTAAGTGTGAA